TTCCAATCTGTGATCAATTCATCATCCTAGCACCATTGTACATTCTTCACAAAAAGATAATTACTGCTTCCCTGGATCAGAACACTCATATTTCCTTGGAATTGCAGGTCTTGATAGCAAGCACTGTCACCACTTTCTTAGTGCTCCACTCTACAACTCTATTTATGATCATTATTTTCGCCTAAACAAGCCTTTTTCCTCAACTTGATAACGAAACCTGCTATGATGCGAAGGGAACAGTAAAGACATTGTTTTCTCTATGGAGTGCTTTCACATTTAGTGGATACTGCTGACAAATATTTTATTCAAGGCATTAGTAAAAGTTTCCACTCGTTAGAAGGTATCTTTACCATTTCCTTCAAAAAATGCTATTTTATGTTCTGATTTGTTAAAAACCGTGGCAGCAGAAACTGGGAACAAGGAAGAAGTTGACAAACAAACAAAAAATTTAATCGCAAGATTATTTATATATCACTTTTTTAAAGCTGCAATTTATTGGTTCTCGTATTAACACATTTGTATACAAGGCTTATTCAAGGCTTACCTCTGCAGACTGGTCAACTTTATTTGACCTCAAGCAGAGACAATAAATTACCATAAACACCACAACTCTAAAATAATGTAAACTAGTTACTGATCAGAGTATCAGAGCAAATGGAGACAAATGTGCTCTGGACTGAAATTAGGGTTCTGGATGCTATAATTGCTAAGAATAATTATAATAAGGTCTCAAGGCATATATACAATAGTTCATTTGTAATGTCCTAAAATGAATAAATGTATTACACAGGCCACAATAATCATTCTAAATCTGAAAAAGGGAGGGTTTGGCTAATATTTAAGTTTGAACTTTTAAAATATATACAAAGCCATTTTCTAAATATGGAAGTTCTTATGCAAATAAGGTCTATAGAATTGGCTGTTGTAAATCAACCCTTTAGCAAATGGACTCGTGGGTTTGGTGGGATTGCCATTTAAATGACTGTTTTTTTGTTTTAGTAAAAAAGAGAGAGAAAAGCTGTTTTGAAGTATCCTATTCAATTAGCTATTTGTTAATAACAATCAAAGGTGGGAAAGGGACTTTTAAAACCAAGAGGAATTAAATATAATTTAATTTCAATGCTGGTGTAAAAAATCTCTCTAGAAACATATGTCTACGATCTGCCTGAAAACTCTGTAACCAGCACAGCAGTTTATTAACTTGCATAACTCATTTATTTGTTCAAAGTAATGATCTTTTGGGAAAGAGATGCTATATTTAGAAACTGCTTGTCAAATTTAATAAATGATGCTTATTGCTGGGGTTTTTTTTTCCCTAAAAGCATTTTTTCAAATACATCCTACCTTTCCCTTGAGCTTTCTTCTAGCCAAGGACCAATGCACATACTGTATCTCAGAGGTAAAAGATGACTTCTGTCCACTATCCAGATCAGTGCCCAGTGACCTCAAATTGTTGAGACTAGCACCATGTCCAATTCAATCCCCCACTTGTTTCCTAACCCAATATTTCTTATGTCAAAGTACAAATTGCTTCATTCAGAAAATGGAAATAGATGGCGGGAGCTCACTTTGGCAGCATTTCCAATACCAAATATCAAGAAAGAAACGACATAAGAGATTCCACTAAGAGACCACAGCATCCAAGCATATTGATCTGATTTACAAACCTTTTCTAATGTGAAACAAATGCTGTGGGTGTGAATTCATACTTAACCATAAAAACCCTTGCATTACTCTGTCTCGTATTAAATACCACATATAACTCTCAGCAGGTTTTATGTTGTGTTTTACTGTCAGGAATGGTTAAATGCTGGCCTAACATTTTGTTTGGCAATTAGGAAAATTTGTAGTTTAATTTATTAAACCCAAAGAAAACAACTACACAGAATTAATTTCATATCCAGCTATAGCTTGTTCTATTTTCTCACTGATTGTTTATCCATTTTGCTTTACACTGTAAAACAGAAAATCCAATTTTCTACTCAGAACATTGAAGGATAACTTGTGGAAATAAACTGAGAAGCTTAAAGGCTAAACCTCTGACTTCTACACACACAAACATGCATATAAAACAATAGCTAGGATTCCAATGCGCCAGGACCATGAAGCTAATTCAGTGCACCCAGAAGGACTTTGGAGTTCAGCTTCTCATTTAGCCACCCCAACCTCATCCCATCCCACACAGAAAAACACTTTTGAAAATGAAGCGACTTTCAAAAACTGAGTGATATGTGGTGTCTACTGTACAAAGTGGGAAGCGAAGTCAAACATTCTACTGGCCATGTACAAGCTTAGGTATAACTAAAGTAGCACTTTGGACTGCTGCCAAAATCTATGTATAAAGGGACAGTGTAATTTAAAACAAAATGTGATGAATAACAAAGGCAGTTATAAGCTACAATCTGGTATATTTGCTATGCCGTCAAATGATTTTGAGCTAAGCAGTCATCAGTATGTAACTGCTGTTCCCCCCAGTTTAACAGTTAACACATGATATACTAGTTTGTCGTGTAGTTTCAAAGTGAATGGCAGCTCTTTTCTCTAAAGCCAGACAGATGTGGAAAAACCTATCATGTTAGGCCACATCTGCAACTACCTTCCTGACACCCTGATGTGGCAGGATAGCAAAGGAATGGCTGCGGGATACTTTCTAAACAAGGAATAGGAATAGAGTGCAAACCAAAATAACATTGCTCCAGAAAGTATGCAGATTACGGCACCTCAAGCAGGAGATGGATGATAAGTTTCTTCAGTGTGCTGGAGTTAGTTGTGGGATAACACTTCTCATATCACCTTCAATGCTCCAGAAAAACTATTGTCCACTTAAATAAACTGCAAAGCCTGTTTGACCAGAGGTATTGGTAGAACAAAAGAAATCGGGGGGGGGGGGGGGTACATGAATTAATACCTCTAACATATCACTTTCAACTCTCTTAAAAATTATATTCACACCAACTATAATGTATCTCCGCAGTTTGGATCCTCAACCTTAGAGATGCAGTATAGTTCAGATGTTGCAGAAGGATTGCATGCTGCAGGACACTGAGGCAGGATACCTTAAAAAAAACAAAGCCACTGTGTGCATATCCTGAAAGCCCAATTACACTATCAAGCAAATAATAAGGGATAGCTCTTGCTGGACTCTACCACTTCAGATAGCTAATAAGGAATCGGATGTTAAAGTTATTTAACAAAATGAAGAAATACCAAAGCTTGGGCTTTTCCCTGTCATGTGAACTTTCAGTTTTCTCTCACATCAAATTTTATTTTGAAAATGCCCCCTTTTAAAGAGTTGATTTTCAAGAAATTTACAGCTTTGCACTTGCATTTCAATCCTACAACCATTATATTGGAAAAACTCACAGCACATTCAAAATGAGGATTCAGAGTCAATATTGATATATGCTGCAGGAAATTTCTGGCTTGGATCCAGGTATAGCCATGTTTCAGTAGACCTACTGAAATCAGTGGGACTTATGTTAGTCATGTATAATTGAAGTCTCATTGATTCCAATGGCTCTGCTCTAAGCATCACTAAGTTTTGATTCTAGTCTGACAATAAATCTGCAACACTTTCCATGATCTTAGCTACAATTTTCAAGCTTCCGAAATCATGAAAATGATCGCAGTTGTCTCCATGTGCCCTCTTTTAGATCACAAGTTCATGACCATGGGGAGGGAAATTGGGAGACTGTCATAATACAAATACCATCTAATACATTTGTATCATTTCTTCCCATGCAATGCAGTCTTGAGGTGCCTAACAATCATAGAACTTCGACAAAAATGCAGCAATGAAATAATCAATTATCTGAAATGGATGAGACGATTCTTCTTCTTTCAATGAATTTCATAAATCTCAAAACATCTATGTTAATTTCTAATGGAAATAACAATCCAGTTTGGATTGCGGGCATTCCTGACAATTTGCCAATATCAAAGCCGATTCAGTTTTACTGGTGGCTATTTAAAACAAATGGCAATCAACCTATTTACCGTGATATAACAACAGCTTGGCTACCTATCAGAGTATGACTTGGATTAAGTGAGGGGGAAGGGTTAAGAAGGTGTGTTAATATGCAAGAACTTCATGAACTTCATTTAATTGAACTTAACATTTGAACAGGGATAAGTTCCCAAGGCAAAAGTAGGGTGAATGCATCTCGCTGATGCATTTATCTATATTCTGCATATGTGGTTAAATCAATCTACACCACATTCCCATGATTCTAACACTGAAAGCCTCTTTTGCAACAATTTCACTAACATATAGATTAATTACTGCCTGAATGTCCTTTTAACGCTCTACAGAAGCGGTCGTGGAGTGACAATATTGCCTGGTTATGCATTTACCAAGGATTTTACCAGGTATCTAAGCACAACCGACTCCCATATCCAACAGTGCTCCAAGTCCTTTATCATTAAGTCCAGAGATATTCTGGTGGGTTCAAGGCTGCTAATAGGCTTTCCCAACCCCCATAGTTTTGTTTCTATCAAAATAGTTTCTTTCAAGCAGGAGAGAGAGAGAGAGAGAGAGAGAGAGAGAGAGAGAGAAGGCTGTCTCGGCAAAAGAACTGTTCTTTCTCACCAGATGTGTAACCGTGTTTCGTCTTTCACTATAGACAAGCTGGAGCCGACTTCTTCCGCTATCCAGGCCCGTGCTACATGTCTTACAACAACACAAATGTAAGCTTCTTCCTTTCCACACATGTTAAACTCATTTCCTAACTATTGGGAGAACATAACACTATCCTTACTGCTGTTGTCAGATGATTCCGTTTATTTTATATACTCATAGCACCACAAGCAGATGATGACTGGCTCTTGGTTGCTTTGGTGGCTGTGAAATGTTTAGGGGCAAATGCTTTGTTTTGTTTTAAGTGTGTGTGTGTGTGTGTGTGTGTGTGTGAGAGAGAGAGAGAGAGAGAGCGCAGCAGTATAAAAGTAAATTGTATCTTCTAACAACAGCAAGCGTTTGTGTGTGCAGCACACATATGTGCACACACATGTGTGTGCAGCACACATATGTGCACACACATGTGTGTGCAGCACACATATGTGCACACACATGTGTGTGCAGCACACATATGTGCACACACATACACCCATGTACGGCACATACATACTCAGAGAGACTGAGTTAGCTTTCCACAAACTCCAACTCACTAGAGTGTGCAAACTGTATAAAACATACTACTTTCCCATTTAATACAGGATGGTTATAATTTAACGTGTTTATTCCTCTTTAAGAGAAATAGGTAGTACTTCATTAACAAACCCTATATATTTAATCAATCTGGTGATTTAACAAAAAAAGGCAAACAATTTCACATAAAATTTTAACTATCAGAAGCCAGTTTACAAAGCACATATGTGAATCTCCATGCCTGTAAAATTATCCACCTTTGGTTCTTTTTCAAATTGAGGCCATTTCTTTATTTTCAAAACATTAATAATTCCAGTGCAATATATATGGTGTTTTTTTAAATGATCTTGACCACATACATTTTTGTAAGATTTGCTATTAAGATAAACAAACAAGAAGAGCTTGTATTCTGGAAGCCTGACCGAGGTGAATGGTTTTCATTTTCTTAGTGTGTAAGCTCTGGAAGCTTTGCCAAGTACAGGTTAAGCTCCCTGAGTTTTCACTTCCTGTAGCCCTGCTTGTCAATCACTTCCTGGCATCTGCAGTGACAATTTCCATCGTTAGAGCTTGGAATTTCCATCTCCTCCAAACATGTCTCCCAGTGCCACACTTAACCCCTTGGGTTCCCATGTCTAATAAATTATTCACCATCTTTGCAAAAGTAACTGGACACTGTTGCATCTATGTTGATTGTAAACAAAATATATCCTTTCCCCAAATATATTTATTTTAGATTTTTATGCATAATAGAGATATTAATTTTGATTCCCTTTCTTAATAATGTTATAATTTTGTTACTGGAAATGTTTCATTGCAACAGCTTATCCTATAATTGGTTCACGAGTTGTTGTTTTTTTAATTTCTATTCATAGATAATATTTACTTCCTGTATGCATGTGTACCAGAACTCTGTGCTTAAAAGATTTTTCCATAACCTAATCCAATTCATCAAAGGCATCCTAACAAAATTACAGGCTCTGGCAGTATCTTTGCCTTTCACCTGATAAGGCTCTAACAGAAGCAGTGGATGGTTTGTATCAGGATACTTCTTGTAAAATAGTTTTTGACAGCTTTGCTTAAATCCCTTCCCCCATTTTTCCTTTCTCACACAAACACACTACTTTATTATTCTTTTGCAAACTACTTCTACTGAATGCAATACAAACATATTTTGCTCCTTTGGAAAAAAAAGTACGGTAGAATGAGAGAACTACGTGCAAAACCCCGTGTCTAACCCATTAAGTAGTAATTTAAGAACTATTTCAAAGAATGCATATGAGTGCATCCGTTGACAACTATAATAGGTAATTTACAGCACAGCAATCCTATGCATGTTTACTCAGAACTAAGCCTCAATGGCTACGATGAGGCTTACTTCCAGGCAAGTGAATATAGGATTGCAGCCTTAATTAACTGTGGTTTTAAGAACTGGTTACTATTACAGATCATGACTGAATACTGTTGAACTGTAATCTCTTGGAACACTTTCTGATAATCTTTCCTCATTCTCTTTTTGCACTATAGAGCATTTTCTCCCCCCCCCCCGCCTTGCACTGCATAATGGGCTCCATAATACCACCAAGACATGTCCTTCCTATCCCCCCTTTTCTGTTTGCCCAACAACCAATCTTCTATTTCCCAGGTACTGTCAGGTACCCCAACTTTTCTCCTTCCCATAGCATTCGCCTATGTCTATACTTGCATTTCTATAACCACCCCTTTTCTGTTTTCACACCACATAGAACTCTAAAACTCCACATCTGTCACTTACCACCCTTTAAATTTCCCCACCCCACAGGTAACTCTGCACCTCCATATCTGACGTACCCAGAAGTTTCTCACCCCTCAGGTGTTGCTCTTATTCTTTCCCCCCCTGCTTTCTACAATGTTCTCTCCTCTCTCTGTTTAAATATAGATCTGCTACCCTCTTTTTCTACATTTCCCACACCACAGATATTTTCACACCCTTTTCTCTCAGTTATACCCCTTTCTCCTGTCTTCTTCACCCCCTTGTTTCCACCCACCTCCAATGCCTTATCTCTAGGCCTCCTTGCTGACTTTGGCACAACAGAACACAAGGCTTTCCCAGCAGTCTAAGGAGTGATGGAGCAGACCTACTTCAGGCATTACGTTGTGCAGATCTGATTTCAACAAAGAAAGAAAATTTGCAGCATAATGACTTGGAACATTTCTTCTAAAGTACTGAGTTCATTATTGCCAAGTTAAATAGTTTTACATATGCAGCTCATTTTTGCGACTTCATAGTCCATATATTGAACAAGGTTTTCACATAACACACATGCATTAAAATCTATGGTAATTTCACCATTGACTTCAGATGGATGTTAATTGCAACCTTATCATGTGAAGCTCCCCTGGAGATAGAGATATAGCTATAGATAGATATGATGTATCTTTATCTCAAGAATACTAGGATAATCTATTTGCTTACAAACTATCCAAAAGAACACCTTGACATGTGCACCTGTGCACTTAGTGCACCTAGAAGTAAAAACTGACGCTCTCCACTCACAGCCATCTCTGATAGATTACAATGATGTCGTCTATGTCAATCATCTATAGCAACATAAAATACTGTTCTCCCAAAAATCTAACAACTTTAGAAATATACTTTCGACTACATGACACATTAAAAGCGCAAAGAAAAAACAATTCCTAGGCCTATTCTGCAGTGATTACATGCACTCCTTAAAGAAAACTAAGAATGAACATTTTACAATAAACTGCACTGTTTTCATTGCATTATGCAGATTAAATGACAACTTGTCATTTAAGAAGTTAATAAACAGACAACGCTTTGCAGGTTATCCAAATGCTACTGAATAGACAACCTTGGATCCCTAAATGATGTGTAATTAAAATTATTTTAAAAATCCTCCTTGACAGGCCAGGGCTTAGCCAAAATGTAAATGACATTAAAGAAGACAATGAATTTAATTTTATTTAATGTCCCTTTTTGCAGATCCTCATTTACATAGCATTTTTAACAAAAGCGTTGACCTTATAAATGCTGGCATTTGTACAGCTTCTGCAGAGTTGGATTTAATCATGCTTTCACAAAGCCATAAGGGAAAAGCTTTAAGTTCTCTGGTTGGATATGGAGTAGGAATAAAAACATTGGGACTGGTCAAATGTTTATCCTCCTTGCTTCTGAAAACAACCTGACAAGAAGATGTAAAGGTCTAGGGAATAACCCATTGCTGTTTGTAAGGCTTGGTAATAATCATACATAATCGTTTGGAAATATAGCTAATAAAAAATATAATGAGTGTTCAGCAAAATCGGCATTAGGCCCAAATTACATGATATTAATACTTGAACAGGTGCAGAAAGGCTCTTTAAATGAGGTAAATGAATAAAATGTCCCAGAGCACAACTGTGTGCACTGACAAAAAGTCAATCACATGAATAATTCAGTGACTAGGACTGCCAGCAAAGGTCAGCTTTCTTTGACCTTTGTGACAGGAAGTGAAAGGAAACACTGTTGACTAAAAAAAAAAACACACCACCTCCAATCAGTCTGCAGCTACCATTCTACAATTACTTTGAAGGAACAAACTTTAGCTACAAGTAAAATAAAGCTATTTCTTGGAAATCTAAAGCATGAAACAAAACTTGATAATTTCATCAGCTTTCTGAAAGATATATAAACTATTAAGCTTTCCCTCACACTGAAACGGGAATGAAGACAATACAAAGTTACATAGTGACTATGAAAGGTTAACTACAGAGGGGCATTTTTTCTCTGCAAACAATGTCAATTATGTATAAAATCTGAGGTCAGCTGAAAAGTATTTTAAGAGCCCACAGGGTTGGAAGTTTGTAGCAGCTGTTAAATATGACAAAATTTCTTCTCCCCCCACCACCCTCAAAAAACTAAAGCTATTCCAAACTCTGTATGAAAGAAAATGGGATAAACAGATGTCTGGCTTTTGTACAGAAAAGTAGAACACACTAGGAATTATAAGTCTTCTAAACTCTATAGAATAATGCCAGATTTATTGGGGAGGGAGAGTATTTACTACCCACAGAGATGCCAACTAACAGTACGACTGTGATAGTACCATCTGGAAAAATGATGCCAAGCATGCTCTCAGCAATACTTTGCAAGCTCATTCCGTGTGCACAGGCAGATCTGCCATTGTTTTACCAGCAAGTTGCTTCTTAATGTTGTGATAGTAATGTAACCCTGACTTCCCATGTTCTTTCGCAATCAGTCTCTTCAGTTTTCAACAGTTGGACACTGTTATATATTCTAGCCAAACAAGGAAAGGAAAAGTCAAAAGGATGTCTTTTACCAGGAATTTCCATACCTTCCAATAAAATATTATGATGGCAGAAAAGAATTATTTTAGCACACAGTGTGGTTTTGGTTTAGCAGTTATAGCGGCATCCTGTAATCATTTACAGCCATTGGAATGTATGGGTGAAATAGGATAGATTTATCTCTTCATAGTTGTGATATGTAGACAATGGGTGTTCCTAATGAGGAACATCTGCTTTTGTGCTTTCCCAGAAAACATTATTCCACTATGAAAATGATACTCTCATCCTTTTCAGCAGTTCTACATAAAAAATATAGGTCTTTTCTTTTATTTGACTTTCTTTGGGGCAGCCTAATTTCCCATGGACACTTTTTTTTTTTTTTTTTTGCTAGGCATCCTTTGGCTACAATTACTTTATAGTATTCTTTTGTGCACAGTATCCATTACAGGGATGACATTTTTAAAAATAGACAAAACATTGTCCAAAATAAATTATCAGAACTACAACTACTTTTTAAGAAATGTGTTCAAGAGGGTGAGGAAATCTAGCTAAAATATATAAAACATTCCTATCAGGGAAAAGACTTATAAAATAAGTAGTTTGTACTGTGTGAAATTTTACACCCTTACATAAAAAGTCGAAA